CTGCTGAAGGGTTGTGGTCCCCTCTCTCCCGCCTCCGTGCCGGTGTGCGCATGTGTGTATGTGTTTATCCCACTTGGTTTGTTACAGCAGCCTTTACGGATGGCCGTCTCTCCCAGAAGCTTGCCCCGCACGGTTAGCTGGAGGTGTTGAAGGCCAGGCTGGATGGGGCTTTGAGCAGCCTGGTCTGCTGGGAGGTGTCCCTGCCCGTGGCAGGGAGGGTGGAACTCGATGATCTTCAAGGTCCCTTCCAACCTAAACTATTTTATCATCTCCTTCAGACCAGGGCCTTCTCTGCTCTTCCCTCGCTCCTTCATCTTGGCTGCCATAGGAGCAAAAACAGGGTCAGCTGCTGCTGGAGTTTCTGTGACAGGTTGCACAAGCTTTTGTGCTTCTGTAAGTTCAGTGCTTTTCTTCACTTACAGTAATGAATCAAGGACCATTTTTCTTTTTTTTTAGCTAAATTCCTTTTTTTCTTAACCTAGAAGAGATGCTATATGTACTGTATCGTAAGATGTAGTTGTTTTTTTCAAGACCTTTTAGTTCTAGTGGACTTAAACTAAACCTGACAATTGTAAAGCTTATTTGCAGGTAAGCATGTGTTCCAGGAGAAAAAAAAGTGTAATTAAAAAATGCAAATGCAATAGTCAACTAGCCAAAATCTAAATTGAACTATCAAAGAATTCTAATGAAGGCTAAATAGCCACAACACTGCGTGTTTGTGAAAGAATGCAAGTTGACCCGATGAGGAGGGCTGTACAAAGGCCTCTTGTCTCCTGATGTTAAGTCATTCCTGGTTTTGACAAGGAAAAAAGCAAGACATGAATAAACGTGTGTTTTTCAGACTTGTGCAAACAGCTTTCTGCTTCTGTGTTTGGCTTCTTAATGAGATGATATGCCATCTGATGTTACAAGTTGTAGCTCAAGTTCTTCTGTGTGTCCTGTGGTAATCTGGGACTCAACAAAAAATTTGCTTGGTCAGGATTATATTTTGTAGAATTTAAACTTATTAATTTTGCTGCAAAGTTAATTGTTTTTACCAAGCCAGCTAAGTGGCATGAATGGGGAAAAAATAAAATTCAGCTCACTACTTTTGTGGTGACTGTACAAGTCAGTAGGAATAAAGCTTCCTTTTTTTTTTTTCTCTCAAAATCCGTAGATGTGGTTTTAAATCACCTTGCCTGGTAGAAGTGGGTGGGAGTTCCAGCTGAGCAGCAGGTGCTGAAACAGGGTAGGGTCTATAAAATACAGGACTGTTTTACCAGTGGCTCCCCTCCCCTGCAGTCATACCTTGCTCTTCACTATCCCTTGATTGATTGTCACTTCAGTCTAATTTGTCCTTTTCTTTAAGATTTCCAGATTTATTGAAAAAGTTTTGCCATATGAGCTGAGCTGTTTACCATCTCACAAATAGTAGCTTTTCTGGGATGCATAAGCATTTTTCTCATTGGATTGGGTTACCCAAGTACGGATTTTTTAATTGATTTTTCTTCCAGGATCAGGGGGGGATGGTTGGATTGAAAGTGATAGGATTTGTAAACTTAACCGCAGGGAACAGAGAGCTGTTTAGCTGCTGATGGCAAGCTGGACTAGGCTATTAAAGGGAAAAGCTGAAGCAGTCAGCATGCGATAGGCAAGAACCAAGCTTGCACTGGTGGGGTGTGCTTCTGAGAACAGAGCAGAGGACTCAAAAAAATTAACGGACTTAAGACATCTCCCCAAAGCCTCACTTTTCTCCTGGACCCGAAGCTCACCACATGGGGAACAACAGGAATATTAGAAGTAAGCTGAGACATTGTGGTGAACTAAGGGGGTCTGGTGGCACTGTGACTGACCAGTGGAAGTAAATAGTTGAGGCTGTGACTGAAGCCATCTAGTTTGCATCTTGGTGGAAAGAGTTTCCCACTTAGAGGTCATCCTGGAGTTGCATTTCTAGCTTTGCAGGCAACTTCTAGAACATGTTCCTCTGTCTGTTACTATTTGCTTATTCCTCATACGCATTTTCCATGGGCATCTTCTAGAAAGTTCTGCATTTAAGATTTACCTCCTGGTTGCACTACTATAGGTGTATTCTGGTTACATCTGTCATGATGTTTCCAATTTATAACAGCATAATTATTGAGATTCATACATTGTGCATTAAATTGAAGTACTTTAGTTTAAAAGAAAATTAAAGACTTTGGCTCGTATCCTGAAAATGTTTATAATTGGGAATTATCCCAGTCAATAGAACTGGTAATTTATAGAAAGTTTGTATATGTAAATGTCCACGGGGCAAGTCCCTGTGCATGTCTACTACAATAAGCTGTTTGAGAATG